AATTTATTTATAGAAATAAATATGTCTGCTTGAAAGAATGAAGAATATGGCAAACAAGTTGCTATAAAGAATGCATAATTAGCCTATATAACCACTGGTATTTCATTAATAAGAAGACCATGTTCTTGTTTTTTATGAGAAGTGGTTTTATTTAATTTTAACAAAGGCATGTTGTGTATCACCGCAGTTAAATCTATATAATGAGTTTGGACATTTTTAAGAAATGCTTAATAAATGCACTGTAACTAAACCCATTAGATTTTAGCAGACTTAATTTACTGTAGGTTTAGTCGACTAAAATCTTATGATATTTAGTCGATTTAGTCTACGACTAAAACAATCAAAATTTGCTGTCAAAATTAACACTGGATAATTAAGATTTGTTATACCATTTAAGATATTTATAGCCTTAAATTTGACCCTGAATTAATTCACACATCACATTTAACTATTTTTGACAAATGTAGAATAAAAGGGGTGCAACAGGGTACCAGATGTAAAAATCCCTTTCAATCTATTTAGTTTAAAATGTTAACGTCACTTAAACACAGGTAGAACATAAGACACCACAGAGATAGTGAGAGATGAGCAAACATACAGTTTGTTGCTTGCCGAGGACATCACGGTAAACAGCCTCCCTGTGTTTGATTTCCAGCTCGTAGCCGGCCTGCCTCCCAAGAGCCATGGATTGAACCTGGGCCTCGGGTAAACTCGGATTCTCCTTCCACTGCCAAAAACAACACACCTGTTACATCCTGTAGACCTCAACAAACAAACACTTACACGATCATCACACACACACAAACACATTTAGCAGTTGTTCAGAACGTAGTCCAACATCTCAAGCTTAATACTGATGACACAGCAAACTATAGGCAAAAGTGTAGGCTTTGCCCCTAAAAGCTCGCGCCATGAGACTAGGATATAGTGGCTCGTTGTAGGGCTGCACGATTATGACAAAAATCACAATTGTCGATTATTCCTTTAAAATTGTAATTGCGATTATTAATTACGATTAAATGAATGATGTTTATACCTTTGTTTGAAGCAACTGCATGCCATATTTTTATATGAAAATAAACAAGCTGAAAACACTAACTGAAAAACTTTTAGTGCTTTTCTATAGTATTAAGCCTCAAATGTCAACTATACATCGGATTGGTTTCTCTTTAAATAAAAAGGTAAAAATATGCATGGTATTATAATGTTATACTAAAACTAAAATTAAAACAATGGAAAAACCCTTAAGATAACATGTAGAAAGAAAAAAAAACATCTTAAGCATGCAGAATAACATAAGTGGACTTTGAATGATTAATTGCTGCTTTGAACGATTATGTAATTGTGGCATCCGTAATTGTAATTGCGATTAGAAATTAGATTAATTGTGCAGTCCTAGCTCGTTGTTATGCAGGTGTTGTAAGTGGTTGTAAAGTCAACAGAGCCCATCTCGCCAAGTCTATGATAATGTTCTGTCCTCCAAATATGACTCAGGCTCATCCCTCAATGTAGGTCTATAGATTTTTTGGTCATTTTATCACCCATCCAGAGTTTCACGCATGTCTGTAGCACAAAGCTATGCATCAAAGGTTTGATTGGGGTAAGTACTAACAACAACAGTGATTCTGCCTTGGCAAACACCAACTGCAGAGCGAATTTTCAGTCTTGTCAGGGAAGGTGGGCTGTGCATCAGTTACTGGTCATGACGGCTCATAGATGCAACACTGGACCTGGAGCATTAAGGCCCTGATATACTTCAAAATCTAAAAAACAAACTAGTGTGATGTCATTTTGAACAAAATCAGGCCAAAACGAAGTTCATTTGGAGTTTCCGGAAGTGTTCGCTCCAGCTGTTAAACCCCTTCTTTTTACCACTGCTCCATGGCAGATACGCATTCACAGGTAGATGTGGCCTTCTTTGACTGGGAAAACATCTGCGTTTCATTTCTTCTGTTCAGTCCGGCGAGGTCAGACATGAACACACTGGAGAACTGCTTTATAGCATTAACTTGAGCTGCAACTCTAACTGAAAGCAACACTGACGCTTTTTTCTCATGTTTAATACTGTAAAGCTGCTTGCTTTAAAGCAACCTATTGCATAAAGTGCTATATAAATAAACATGACATGACCTGACTGGAGTGCTGCATTGCAGAGCTGTGCAAACATGTCCACATTGCTACGATCAGATGCTTTTTTAACTGCTGTTTTCTCACTGCTGTTGATTTGTTGAGTGTTTATTTTGTTACAGCGAGGAAAGCACGCAACACATATTTACGTATGTATCTCAACCTGGTGGTTTTGGGATGTTCACTAACAGTAAATTGGCATTTCAAACTTCTTTTTACCCCTAGGCGAAGAACGAAAAACAACTGTGCTGTGAGTATATCGGGGCCTTTATGCGCAGCCTTTCCAACGAAAGCCTCTCTGTAGGGAATCTCCCTCTCTCCTGTCACTCACCACCTGCGCGATGATGTCCTCCATTGGTTCCCTGGGCACTGACTTCAGAGCGTTAGCGGCTTCCATCACTTTCTGCCTGCCCTGGTAAATCAAATCCTTGAACACAGAGAGAAAGAATAAAGTGTGAGAAGAAACACTGAAAATACTAGACGAGATGAAACAAACCTCTGAATTTGATATTTTCACAGAAATAACTAGCATTCGTAAACGGCAGCTGGCAGAGCACAAGCCAAGGAATGTGAAAAGAGCACGTGGAGCTCATTAGTTACCTCCAACTGTTGGTTGCTCATGGAGGCCAAGGCAGCCATGTTGAAGGGGAAGTAAGAGTTTGCTCCTGCTCCCACGGCCATTTGAGAATAGGACGGCTGGTTCAAATGCATGGACAGACCCTGAAACAAGAGAAGAGAGGGTCCATCAGTCGAAAACAAACAGAGAAGTTTCATTTTATGAAATGAGGTCACAGAAAAATCACAATTATAAATAATCTTCAAATCAGGTTCGGCCTGACAGATGAGTCAGCCTTCCATCACACTAGCACTTGCTGCAGGGTAATCAAAGCATTGCTTTTTGGACTTAATTTCCCACTCGATTTGCGACTTTGACATGATTTGTCTGCGAACTGGCAAAGACGCACGGCGAACAATAATTCCCAGCCAACAGATCGCTGGAGGATCCAAAAAATCCTGATGTGCACCCATGTGAACCTCTGTTAGGGTCCTGCCCAAGCTGTGTTTGTCTTACGGCTCTAAACAGAACGTTCCCCTGCTGAAGGTCAGCAGGACGGCTGTGTTTGTGTGTAAATGAGCTACCGAGGCAGATGCAGCCAATCCCCTAATTGGGTCTTTGGTGCACGCAGCTCGTAAACACACTCCACAGCTGAGTGTCCGGTGTTCAGACCTGGCACGAGCAGGTGTGCGGCACAGATGGCAGCGTGGATCACAGCTGTGCCGCAGACCGCAGGACAATCTAAACAGACGCTCTTTTAGGCTGGTTTCAAAATGTGATGCTCACAGTATGGCAGCTTTCAACTATCTCAGAACTCGATAGGGTTCTCTAATCACTGCAAGTGACTGCTTAAAATCCACTTTAATGGCTCTGGCAGAGTTAATGATTTTAAGCAATCACATTACACAAAACTCTTCAATCTCAGCACACACAAATAACTGTAGCGAGATGATCAAAAGCAGGTGATTTCTTTCCGTTGCATATAATAGCTATGGCCAAGTGATTCACTGATGAAATTACTTTGATTTAAGCATAATATTTAAAAAGTCTTGCCAAAAAAGAACATGAAATTTAGGAGGCAGATTACATGTAGTGCAGAATCTGTGCCAATGTGGTATGAATTACACACACGCACACAAATCCAAAGACAGTCTGCACTGTCTCAATGCTCCCAGCAGGTACAGCTCCTGCATTGGGCACTAAAGTTATAGTGATATTTTCCATGCTCCATGTAGTGCAACACGAGCAATGTTCACTTATTTCAGTTATTTTTACTGATGACGTATTCAAGGAAAGGAGTCTGTGCTTTCTATAATTGTAGGTCTATTTGCAGATGGACATGCTTTGCAATTACATTGCTTCTCACGTTTTTCAGCAGAAGTTGAAAGCTTTTTTCAGTTTTAAGTAATTCAACCCCATTATAACGATTTATCTTTGAAGTAGCATTTAGTTGACTACAGAATAGTTTTGAAGGGAATCAGGGTAGATATAGTTGTGATTGCAAAACGAATAATTAGTGAATCTGAATGGAGAGAAGGCACTTGTAATGTAATTCAAGTGCAGAGTCGGAGTCCCACATGGCAACAAGTGACTTCTCTCCCAAAAATACTCCACTAATGAGCCCTGAGGGTGAAGAGTCTCTAATCTGAAGACAATGAGGATTGGATATAAAAGGACACAGGCTCTCAGCCACCATCTGCACACAGGGTTCACTGCGTTTATGAAAGGATGATTCGACTGTCTGAACAATGAGACATTTCAGAAAAGGTGTGCTTCTATGGGTCTAAGCAGAACAATTACCGCCCAAAGAACCCTCTTCCAGCAACAAACCTTTTTGGTAGTTCCCACTAGTTTTATGTAGCTCCGAATAAAGCTTTATGTTTCAAGGAATTTTATGTAAGCACACATGCATACAGTTCGACCTCTCTCATGGTGTTTCTTAAAGTGTGGGTTAATTTCTTATGATGCTAATACACCACAATATTATTTGTGAGGTGCGGTCCATCACTGAAGAAATAATCATCAACCTCACCAAGATTCTTAAACAGCTATCAGTAATGGCCAGAAACAAACAGACAATTTCTTTTTTAATGAAAGATTAAAAAACACACCTGAAATATGGCTAAAATCTAACATTATATTTACAAACTGATATAAAGGTATTAGACTATATTCTTTTTATCATTACATGTATATAATAGTAAAGGGCTTGTGTGGCTACACACCTTCTTTTCGGCTTCATATTCGGCCCAGGCTGCCTTGCGATCTTCCTCACTCAGTGCCTCTTCCTCCTTGTGGTCCAGCAAAGAGTCATGCTCGTGGTAGCCGACGATATGATCTTTGTAACTGTGAAGGAGTTCTGCCAGGAAAGGATCCTGGGACAAGAGAAAGGGTCAAAGAAAGATGGGTCAGCATCCCACATGAATACATACACAGATGTAATCCTCTAATAATCACCATTAGCAACATAATTACAGAGCAAAACCAATAATTAAACATTTTTGTGGCCTATCAAACACACACACACACACACACACACAAATGCTGCTTTGGCTTAGTTAAACTACTCAAAAATGTTGAAACATCTCAACATCCAATCAACAACCGATGCATAGAACCAACTCCTGCCCTGCATTTTTTCTTCATTTTTTGATAATCTGTTACACTTGAATGTACGTCACACAAAAGAGAAGAAAAGATGTCTCGCTACCTCTATTTCACTGACTTTAAAACACAATTTATTTTTTCATCTTCACTACCTCAAATGGCCTAAGATTCTGATCACCTAATAGGAGTCACTGATGGACAGTCACATGTGGATGTATTCATGCACTTGATGTCAGAAAGTTACACAGGTTCGGAAAGTGTCGTTTTTGCAGTTTAGTTTCAAGAAATGGTGTTTCTGGACTAGGGTCTAGTTTTGGAGCTCCAAAAGTTATAGTATGTTTTCATAATACAAGGTCTTTTATCTCATAATGAATAAAACAGTCAATTTAGTGCTGGGCGGTATACCGGTTCATACCGAATACCGGTGTTTATTTTTGTTATGATATGAATTTTTAAAATGTCGCTTAAACAACATTCGGAACACGACACTGTTTGAAAGGGGTCCCTTTTCACTGTTGCACTGTGGTGAGGGAACAGCTGTATGTGTTACTAAGCGTGAAAGTTCTGAAACTGAAGCTGTAGAACTAATAGAACGTGATGACACAGAAGAACTCATCCACAATATCCACATTGACCGCCACAAATATCCACCGCCCCCTGCCATCAGCTCCCGCGTCTCACAAGTGCGACTTCAGCACTAGATTTAGCAACTTTCAGACCCATTTAGCTGCTTTTTCCCATAGAATATTCATACTGACAAACCTAGCGACTTTTTTGGATAAACCTTAGCTATGGTTCAGTTGGAAGATTTCCCGCGAACGCGAGGTCTGACTTTCCCGGAGAAGTGTCACCTCTCTCGGCGTCTGTTCTGTGCAGTGAGCGACAGAGAAGCCGACTCGTCAATAAATGAGTACAAAACAGCGTTTCCAAGCACCTGTCGCTTACTGATTGTTTGGAATTATAAATATGAGCGTAGTTCGTCTGTTAATATCACATGCACTTTTTTGTTTGTTGTTTTTTTTAGTTTGTTACTCAGACGCAGGCAGTGCGCTGCATGAGACAAAAAAGTAATATAGCCAAAACAACCACATAGCCGCTCTTTAGTGTAGATGCACGTTGATTTTATCAGACGATGCCGCGATTATAAATGAGAGTGACTCCTGGTTAACGTATTAAAAGGGGTCGTGTTTAGTCACTATTTAGTGTGGTATTTTTTGACAATATTCACTCATCATGACAGTAAAATAGGGCATTCTAAGTCAATATACTGCAGTATTTCCTCTCTCAATCAGTAGAAAATATGGTTAACACCCGGTCATGCATGAAAAAAAAAATACCGTCATGTACCGTGAAACCGGTATAATTTTGAAAAATACCGTGATATAAATTTTTGGTCATACCGCCCAGCACTAAGTAAATTAGTGGTTAGGTTGTGCTGCAAAGCTAAAAATAAAAAAAGAAACCGACTCCAACCAAGTGTTCACAAGACATATTTAAAATAACTTCAGAGGCTTTCATGCAACTCTGGTATCCATGACTACACTGTTATTGAAAACAACACCTGAGCGGAGCACGATTCACATCCAGGCCTCGTACAAACATGGTTTAAAATTACTCTACAGCTATTGTTTGCTTTTCTTTGTCTTGCCTGCAACTTCACATTAAAAAGGTCAAGATCTAGAAACATCTGCTGGATCCCAACCATAGGAACATAAATGCGTGAGTTACGTGATCAACCGATTTAGCAGCAACAACAAACAAAATAAAACAAAAAACTAAATTAATCATAATTGTCACAACGTTCAAAAAGAAAAGCCTCACGATTCTAAATTTAGGACTTCTTACTAAATTGCTACAGAAAAGGTTTAGAGAAACAGAATCGGAGGTACAAAGTGAGCAAACCTCAATCGTCCCCCAAAGAGCCAATCATGATTAACCATATAATGGTTTATTTCAAGAAATAAAGATAACGGCAGTAAGACAGGTACCAAAAACAGAGCCATGCCTTCTGCATTACAGCAGAGTTGTAACGGAGAGCACAGCTACAGATCCGTCCACATCAAGGCTTTTCAGTAAGTGGCTTTGAAAGCTGAAAAATAAAAACACGTGGCGAAAGCAAGCACAATCACGCCAGGCCTGGCCTATACCCTCCACAATCCCGACTGGATGAGTGATGGTAATTTCTGGCTAAGTGGCTAAATTAAAACATGGCTGGATGCTGCCATGTGAGGAACCCCTTCTGCATCACAACCGTGAAAAAGACTGCATGGAAAAGATGATCTCTTGTTAAAAGCGTGCAGAAGACGAGGGGGAACTGAAGTGTGAGCTGCGTGTCTGGAGCAAAAGACAAGTCCATGATGAAGCTGTTGTTTGAGCATTTCAAACACTCGCCATCATGAGAGGGCCGACGTGAGCTTATCTGAACATTGTCCAATTTTGAACCGGGTAAATGGGTCACAGAGCCGCTGGGTCAAATGACAGTGAAGCCGTCCAGGGGAGCAGGGAATGCTGGGATTCCTGATTAATCTCCAGGCTGGAGCTCCGCGGGTGGTCTCGTCTGTCTCCGTAACCTGCCCTACATGTGCATCTCGACCGAAGGCACTAATGACGGTAACAAGAACTCCTGCATTGTCATACTGTGAGCTAACCCCATGCATAATGACGGCTTAGGAAAAGGATATCATTTTACTCCATGCATGGATGTGGAATAGGTTGGGTGGGGGAATGGGGGAATCAGCAGAATGCATTTTTTTTTTTTTTCAGGGAAATGGGGAGTGGGGATCCCACAGGAAGTCAAATGGTGGGAGGAAGCATTTTGCTTTTGATCAAAGCATGGAGGTGCATGAGCCAGACTGCTGCAAGGATAAATACTGCCCCAGGTGGGGAACAGTCTATCTGCCCATGTCTGAACACCACGCTCTTTCTCATCTTAAAAATATCACAACCACAGAAATCGTTTCCTTGTGAGTCTTTGCAATTTTTGCTGTTTCCCATGTATGTTTTTGAAAACGGACTGTTGACCTTCATAAACATCTCTGTAAAGCTTGAGTAAAAAAATTTACACTGAGCAATGTTAGAAGGTGCACCAATCATTGAAATCAGACATTCCCAGTGCACATCAAAATTACTGTCAGAATTAGTTGTTTCTAGGCAGTTTACGGAACTGTTCAAGAAAATTGTCCTTTTGACAGCAGTAAGTATTCTTCTTGCAAGTTTTCCTAAATTAAAACGCTGAAACAGAGACACACATCATTGCTGGTGAAACAGAACATTCAAATGAACTGTAAGAGCTCTGCTCAACTACATACATTTACGACTTGGCAAACAAAGCCAATTTACTTAAGACACGGTCCCAGATGAACTCCGCTGGTGTGAAAAACGCAAACGTTTTTTTCTTGCCATTTTTCTTCCTTCTGAATCATTTTCAGCACATTTACAGCTATTTCAGCCCAACTGCCTCTTAAGGTTTTTGATCACGCCACCTCATATTAAATACAATCCATATTCACAAACTCTATTTTATTTCACTCATTACTATGGCCATAAACATCTGCCGTGTGCTCTGTAGAAGACAGGGTGTGAGGAGTTGGAAAATGGAAGCGTGACAGACTGCATCCATAAAAAGAAGAAAAAAAAGATACAGGAGCTTCAGAAAAGTGTGGAATAATGTGTTTTCTTCAGATGTCTTGTTCCGATAAAAACATGCAACTTTGCCTTCATGACCTAAAAAGGGGAATGTCTGTGAACAAAACTCTTATCTACCACTTTAAAATGAAGAGCCTAATGCTTGCCTCAGATTTCACAAGACATTATGTTTGACATGCAGGTGCACAAACCAAAGAAACCAAGGGGTCCGGGGCAAGAGACTCAAGGAATGTGAAGGATTGAGATATTTGTAATACCTAACCTTAGCCAGGCAAAACGTACTCTACAGCTGCACACAAATTATACGCATAACCTCAGTGCCCTGATATAAACAGTCTGTGTCTGCAGAGCTCTTGATGTTTGGCACAGGGCCGGATGTCAGGTGTTCATCCAAGATCATTCGATCTTTTCTACCATTTACTAAATGGAGCACGCTAGGTGAGAACTTCTACGACGCACTGCAGTTCACACCTTCAGCTCTTTCATTCAAGTTAGAGCAAATATCTAAAAATGGAGGGTTGAAGGCACCCACTCATTTAAGGAACATCTGGGGGACTTATTAAGACCAGCTCCTGCACCTAATTATCCCAACTAAAGTCTGTTCCTTTGCTCAACGAGACCCAGAAGGCGGGGGAGCCGGAGCGAAAGCAAATTACCACTTTCCCACCGATGGACCACTTTCAGGAAGTGTACACACCGACCCAACCGTGTCACTCAAAGTCTACCCACGGGTCTCAGCTCTATAATGGGCCTCCGAAGAGCCCGAGGCAAGGCCAGACCCCAAGCTGGGTGGCTCTCGTGTCTGGGCCGCAGCACTCTTCTTTGTCATTAGAGTGGAAGTCCGCTAACTTCCTTTGTCTCCAATTAGTTTCTCTGAAAAGCACAAGAACATCCTAAAAGGGGTTTGGAATAATGACTGTTCATCAGGTCGGGGGAGGTTTACAGTGTTCCTTTGAAAACTTCAGAGACGAAGCAGTGAATCAGCGTAACAGATGGCCTTCATGATGGCATGATGTTTGGGTGAGCTGCAGCGGCACACAGGTTCAGAAGCAGTGTGTGCTTTAGACTGAGGG